TCACCCATGGGGGAGATGGGCGGCATACAAGCCAAATAAATAAATAAATAAATAAATAAATCTACAGATATATTATTCCATGTTATTGACTCCATTCTTACTCACTAGAAAAGAAGAGTATAACAGGAAACCTAGAAAGGCAAAGCCACTCAAAAATAATCCATAATCATACTGGATGTCCTTCTATTCATGGAATACAGATACAAATATATAAACTTTAAGCATTTTTAAACAATTGTCAATCATAACTTCTCCCTATTAAAAAGGGTTTTTAATCATTTTTTATATAGATTTTACTGAAAAAATATATATTTTAATCTATGACCACATTATCTGAATAGCACACTATGACATGTTCCCTAAATAGAATCTTTTACCTACAGTGTAAAAACTAAAATTATTGAAGTGACAGATGTATTTAAATGTCAATAAATACAGATTTAAAAGTCAGATCTTTTTTCATCTACATCCTTGTTCAGTATTCCTACAAACCACTGCCCTTGCTCTAAAACAAGAAATTGGTTTCCAGGGCAGAGCTAAGCTAAGAATCTCAGAGCGATATTACTTACAGGAGTGGTTTATTATCTTCAGGGTCATCATCTTCTACTTCCAAAAGCCAGCCATAACCTCTTTGCCTCAGGAAGGTAGTTGCTGTGGATTCTTTCATCAATTCCACATTTCCTCCTCCAAGGTTGAGCTTCACATCTGTAGATGCTATTGAGCCACTTAGATCTTAAGTCAAAAGACATTTAAGGGAACACAGTCAAGAATATATATTTTTGCTACACCAAAGTGTATAGCAATATGTGAGGCAAGGGAGGGGTGCTATGCCTAATTCACATACTAGGCTAAGCTGTTGTGTTGTCGGTTTGTTTTTGGCTTGACCTGATATGCAACTCATTCTACAAAAGAAAACATGGTTTACAAACCACAGTGGATGAGTTTGCATATTACACAAAGCTAAAAAAAAGTGTAACGTAATGAAACAAGCTAAATTGTCCACAACCACATATAAGGAAGTAGCTTAGAAAGAAATGCAATGGTTGCATAAATAATTCAAAAGAAGTGCACTGCAAAGTGTGTTAGCATGAATTTTAAACTTTTAAAGCGGTGACATCCCTTGGAAGGCTTGTGTGACTGCTTTGGAGGTTGTTGAATGCACGCATAGACAACATTAGCAGTGGGACCACCAGCAAAGTGGCATGCACATACATGGGCAGATATCTGGAGAGAGAGTTTTTAAAGCAGCCATGCCAGCTTTCCAAAGGACCTGGCTGCTTTAAAACTTCAGGAAGGGGTGTCCATGTGACATATTTTGTAAAGCCCTAACAAATACTAATGTATTATCCATTGTGGGGAGTAAAAGGTTCACTTTAGCATGAGGTTTTATAGGGTTCTTCCCTAGAGTTCAGCTGAAGTGCTCTCCTCCTTCCTGTGAGCCAACAGGAAACTAAAGCAGCATAGATGTTGCTGTCCCCATTGCCAGTCCTCATTGCCTCTGCTTTTGCTTGCTGCTAGAGAATGGTATCCTTATTTCCCGGTCAGGAAAGGCAATGCTCTCACATCTTCTCATCACCACCCAGCAGGAAAACCAGAGAGATGGCTAGACCTGCAGATTTAGATCTTGACTCCCTTCACTTGCCACTTCTCCAGTCTGGGAATCAGCTGACCAGGCTAGGAGGAGAAGGCAAAGAGAAGATCTCTTTACTCCCCAGATCTCCAAGCTAATTAATGGCTCAAAGATTTAGACCAGATTGTTCAAACAGCCGACCAGCATGGGAATCTGCAGGAACCCTTACTCTGCTGCTTCACCATGTGCCTGCCTATCTCTGAACTGTTGTTCAGGCTGAATTTGAACACAGGCTTAGTATTGTTTCAGAAGAGCATTACATGCAGAACAGCCTCAACAACAACTGACAGGTAAGATGCTAGCATGGAACAATAGACTGTTGGGATTTGTCAGTGATGTCGTTAGGCAGAAGCAGGGAAAGGCTATTATACTGCAGATAACTTCTGTACTGACATCAAATGCTCTAAAATCTTGTAAGTTTATAGACTGTGGGCAAAGCAATTTTATATGACAAATCTAAAAAAAAAAAAAGCATTGGGAGAAAAATACCTGTGATTTAATTCATTATATATAATTTAAATCTAAGAATAAGATACTTTCACAATCCTGAATATGACACAGCCAAACTCTGTCCCAATTGTGCAAAATATGTGGCCTTTTGATCAGTGAGCAGGGTGGATTAAAAACTTGGCCTGCTATTTCTATAACATGAATGCTCAGATACAGCTGAAGCACCGCATCCATTCTTTCTATAATCCATAGAGCTGTTGTTATACTTTCCTGGGCATTGCACAAAAAGGATGCTTTTGACTGAAGGTTGAATTTAAAAACAGAACAGTTTAACCAATCAGTAGAACTCATGGGGTATTCCATTTTGAAGTGCAGAGCCATGTTCAGTACAGAGAATTAGTTCAGTTTTGAAGTTTTACATAAATAAGAACCTGGGAAATATCAACAAATTTAATATTGTTTAAGGACATAAGGGCATCCATACAACTTTCAGTTCAATGGCCAGTCTAGTTCAGCATTCTGTCTCTGTAGCAGCTAAGCACATGATTATGTTAATAAGAGTACAGTTTCAATAGCAACTTCATACTTATGTCCTCCAGCAACTGGTATCAAATGTAATACATAGTTGCCATGATCAATAGGCATTGTGAACCTTATCCTTCAAACACTGTGGTCTCACTTATTCCATCTTTCTCCCTAAATATGCCCAAGCCCATCAACCATACTAACTGGATATGATCAGCATAAGTTTTCAACATCAATTATTATGATAAACTATTTTGATTAACAACTCATTCCCTCCAACTATTGCCCTCCAGTGGTACTTGACTACAACTCCCAGAAAGCTGCTCAAAAGTGTCCCAAGGCTGCTGTACACCTACAAAGATCTGTACCCGACAGCACTCTGTACTGATGCCCTATCAGGTTAAGTAACCAATGTGCCACATCCACAGCCTTGTGCGCTGGTGTGTGTAATATATGGGAGGCGAGAGCCCGCAAGCAAGGGAAGGAAACCACCAGAACATTCGCATAATTTAACCCTCAGGTTCAGTATATACCTCCCTTTGTTTCTTTCGGGGTTCTGCGTAAGTCAGTAAAGCTCAGTAAAGCTCCCTCCTCCTCCGCCAGCACCATTACTCCATCCCTTCTTATTTATCGGACTTGCTAGTCCAACCCTCCTCTCTTCCCGCAGGTGCCTCTGCCACGCAGACCGGGCTGGGCCAGAGGGCTCCGCAGCCGGGGGCTTCCCGTGACTCCTGTCTCCGCACCTCCTGGCATCCGCCCGGTTTCCTCCTCCAGGCGGGGCTGTCCGGTGCCCTCTCCGCGGAGGGCGCTATCCCTGCGCCCCATTCCCATTCTTACCTTCGGCGTCGGCTGAGGAGACGAAGGTGAAGTCGCCGTTACTGGGAGCGAAGAGCGGCTGCAGCGGAGGAGAAGCTTTGGGGGGACCCGGGGGCTGCATTGCTCCGCCCGCGGAGAGCCTCGAAAGCGCGGCCGGAGAGCCAAGAGAGGGCCGAACGGAACCGCCGGGGACCCCGTCAACAGCAACCGAGGAGGCGGAGGCGGAGATCATCCCCGCCTCCTGCTGACTGAGCATCAGCCCGACAAACCTGAGATCCACTTTCCGATTGGGCTCCCGTAAAGCCCTCTTTGATTGGCTTCTAAGAACTTCTTCCCGATTGCCTCGGAGCTGAATGTCATTGGTCCGGAGAGCCCTCGTGCCTGGGAATCGGTAGACTCAGTAGGAGAGGGGAGGCGGAAGAAGGAATAGATAGGGGCGGTTCTTTTTTGGAAAGGAAAGGAAAGGGGGTGGAGTAAGTCTTGTTACGTCTTCCTTGAAGCTTCCTTGTCTTTCTATTAGTTTTATTTGTTTGTTTGTTTATATAATATAAATCATACATACATACATACATACATACATACATACATACATACATGATTTGGTGTACCAACGGATTTGTTTTTCCACAAGCGTTCAACTTTGAACTGCAAGCCCCGGTATTTCGTAATTTTTTCGGATGGCTTTTCCACAATCGTAGCATCACCCGGTATAGCAACATCAACGGACCAGACTTTCTTCTTTTCAACTACTGTTACATCAGGCATGTTATGAACAAGATGCCTGTCTGTTTGGATTTTAAGGTCCCATAATATCTTAACCCGCTGATTTTCCCAGTTGTATTATTTTGTGCCGCAAAAGAAACGTTGGTAATAACTCCCTGACTGACCACTACCGTGCATTGTGCACTTATTTTCTTGCATACAAAATGAGAATTTCTCTGCTTATTTTTGCTCGGCAAGCACTGTCTGCTGTTCTACTGATGCTCAGTCAGTATTGTAATGCTGAGGAGGAAGAATGTATCTATTGGATCTATTGTTAGATCTCTAAGTTATTTGCAGTATATCAGCAAGGAGTTTCAGTTGTCAATTATTTAATAGTTGCAGCAACAAAATTACTTCTGCTAAAGTGACACTTCAGATGAACCAAAAATAGAAGAACCGCAAACAGCATCCAGATACGTTTTTTCAAAATCCTTTTCTGGTGTCAGAAGTATCTCCATTTCTGACACTTTTACATGTCTTCTTATATGCCTTGTATACAATCAGACAGATGCAGTGGCCAATTACTACCCCGCTGCCTTTCCTTCACTGTTGCAGCCTTTTTGAACCTTAGAGGCAGAGACAGGAATTGATTCCAGTCTAGCATATATGCTTCCTGGCAGAAGGGTGTCCATCGAAGCTATTAATGCACCTAAGATGATAATGCAGAGACGCCAGGGGCCACAGTATGAAGGATCCTTTCAATTACCTTTAACAGCAAAGAGGACAGGAATAATCCCTCTACTAACAATGCAGATTCAACCAATTTGGTTCATCCTTCAAGTCCAGAAAATGGTATTACCTAAAAGGATCCTTTAACATGCATGTGGGCTAACATAAATGTTGTTAATATTTGTTAGATTTATATCCACCTTTTCTCCAGAAATTCAAGGTAACTTACATGAGGGAGTCCAGTCATTTTATCCCCACAACACTGAGAGAACCCAAAGTCATCCAGTGAGTTTCCATAATTGAGAGTGGACTAGAATCTGGATTTCCCCAATGCTAGTCAATACTTCAGTCATTACACAAGAATTGGGGGCCCAGATAGTACAAAATGGTATAAGTGTGTTAATTAAAAATAATTGATTTTTGATTGAACATGCAGTGAACCAGGCCAATGTATGGCCTCATGTCCTGCTAACTGATAAGACGATCTGTTTCATTGGCTTAGTGTATTCTCAGAGATTACAACTTATTCAATAAACCATGGTTAAGCAAAAATACAAATTTTCTAAAAAGAGGACACACTGGAGAGGTTTTTCTCTTAAATTCATAAATTTATTTATTTATCAAATTTGTCACCACCCATCTCATTAAAAAGTGACTCTGGGCAGTTTACAGATATTGCCAAAAGCATCCTGGGCAAGCATTATTTTTTGTTTTTCCTGCATCCCCCCTGGATGCTTTCTCTCAAACCCTGAAGAGCAAGATCCAGACAGAATTAGATATTCGTATTTGCCATGAAGGAAGCAATTTTGTCCAATGACCAAACCAAAGCATACACTCAAATTATCAGTAAGAGATAACTGCTACCAGTTTACTGAACATGTAAATATCAAATTCTACTGTCATAAAAAACAAAACCAAACCTGACAAGAATAGTTTTGTGCTCATTACTGTTTGTCACTGGATTGTGTAGATTGGACCAAGAGGTCATCAGTGTTTGAGAATATTCTAAATTCTTTTGACGTCCACATTTGTCCTGTGCTTGGCAGTATCTATAGGCCCTTTACATCTGAATCCCACCATGAAATATTAAATGGTCACAGGTACAAGGTTTTTGTTGGCATACCATTTTCTCTTGCTGGGCGGCTTTGTAAAACTCCTGCCCTCAGCAAAATACGAGCAATTGAATGGAATGGAATTTCACGATGTTTTCCTTGGATTTATGCTTAGGTGTAGTGCAATAATATAATTCTGGAAATAAAATTTCTCTTCTGAGAACTCCTGATTTCCCAATAAGGATACAATTCCATTAACATTTCACTAGGGTGTAATAAGTGATTTCCAAAGCCACACAGAGATACATAGTAAAACAGCACCAAAATCTATAAAACTATTTCATAACTCTCATTATTTCTCTCATCCTAAACCATTCTGGCTCTTTTTAGCTCAAAGATACACTTACATTTCCCCCCTACATCTGACATTAAAGCACAGGCAAAAATTAAATAGAGGACATGAAACAATTTGGTACAAATATTTTATTCACAGCCATAAAATCTTGATCATTTTAGTATCAGTGACAGAAATGTTGCTCCCATTTCTCCTGCTGCTGACGTAGTCACCACAACAGTGAGCAGATGTGCCAGCTACCATCAATGCACCAGTCAGAAATGTTATAAGGGGCCCTGTGAATTCCAGACATGTTTAGTTTAGTCTTTATTTTAATCCCTTGCTAGACAGAACGGTAATGCCCCCAAAACAGAATATGTCCAGGAAAAAAGGGACACATTATGATTCTAGCAAATCGTGCCTTAGGATAATCCATGAATCCAGTCAATATCTAATTGACAATTAATAGATTTACAATGATTTCATACGTTAATACATTGCTACTGTCAGGATCTCATGATGTGAAATGAATGCATCTGTTTTGAGTAACAAAATTAGATGAAATATGTTTAGGCTCATATCACAAGGTTTGAAAAATGCCCAGAATTTAAAATTGCACAACAACTAGGACCAACTATTAATAAGACAATAGCAATTTGTGCCAATGATGAGGACAAAGTTATTAAAGAAGTGTCCTGTTTTTTTCCTCATTCAGTACCGTATTTCATACAATGGTAGATACTTTGTCTCTGGCTAGCCCACATTATGTATATTACAACTACTTGTGAAGAAATGTGAATTTCATTTTCCATACTTTCAGGTTTATAGTTATGCGTTTATCCTAGCCTTGGTCGCAGTCTATTGAAATGGATGCCTCAAATAAAGTTTAATAAGATTTGGTTAAAATCAGCTTACTGTTGAAAGTATAACTCAGGAATTGGAAGATTAACTCATATGGTTTGGTCTGTGCTATTATTGTTGTATTTTAATGTGATTCTCAATCAATTACTGTATGTATATGTTCTTCTTGCTATATCTCCAGTATATAAAATCTATCTAAATATTAAGAGTTGTGGATTTGGGGATTAGCTAAAATAATTATCATACAATTCTGGAAGGAGAATCTACAACTGAATTGCTGCAATGGATTGTTTATATATGTTGTTGGTAAACATTTGATTTATTTATTTATT